CCAAGTTTCAGCAAGCCGAACAGGGCCATTATGCAATTGGCTTTATTTCGAGAGACTAACAAAACTGTACCGTGCCACTTCCACTAAGACACTTAGGTAGCTCTGCAGTTCATAGTTGGGTTTAAATCTGGCAAAGTGTGGAGCCTGACCCAAGCAAAATGTGTGTGTGATTCTCAAAAAAAAAAAAAGCAAAATGTCAAATGTGTGACATGGGGCCTGTGAGAACCAGCTCATGGGCCGAATTGCTGTTGAGGGTACTGTAGTTGTAGCGCTGAATTGGGCTAGGTTGAATTCGGCACCGTAGCGCCGAGCAATGTAGCTGCAGAAAACACTGTGCACCTATAAGTGTAGTACATACCATGAATTATGAGTTCGTCGACCCAGCTTAAATAGCCAGGCCAAGGAGCGCGTAATTACCTTCGGTTAATCGTTTTGCGCGAAGCGAGGATAAAAACGTAAGCGGGTCGTAGGTATCCGGAATACGGATGCGACGTCGAACCAGGAGCGAGCTACCTCGAGGAGGAGCAGTCTTACTGACGCAAAAGGCGAGGCGCGTGACGCGGAGTAGATACTGATGCGTGACACTAGGACGTCGAACCAGGAGCTGCGTCGACGAGGAGTAGATACTGATGCGTACTGAGGAGTAGAGAGAGCATCAGAAACGTCTGGGAATACGGATGCGACGTCGAACCAGGAGCGAGCTACCTCGAGGAGGAGCAGTCTTACTGATGCAAAAGGCGAGGCGCGTGACGCGGAGTAGATACTGATGCGTGACACTAGACGTCGAACCAGGAGCTACGTCGACGAGGAGTAGATACTGATGCGTACTGAGGAGTAGAGAGAGCATCAGAAACGTCTGGGAATACGGATGCGACGTCGAACCAGGAGCGAGCTACCTCGAGGAGGAGCAGTCTTACTGATGCAAAAGGCGAGGCGCGTGACGCGGAGTAGATACTGATGCGTGACACTAGACGTCGAACCAGGAGCTACGTCCGACGAGGAGTAGATACTGATGCGTACTGAGGAGTAGAGAGAGCATCAGAAACGTCTGGGAATACGGATGCGACGTCGAACCAGGAGCGAGCTACCTCGAGGAGGAGCAGACTTACTGATGCAAAAGGCGAGGCGCGTGACGCGGAGTAGATACTGATGCGTGACACTAGGACGTCGAACCAGGAGCTACGTCGACGAGGAGTAGATACTGATGCGTACTGAGGAGTAGAGAGCGTCAGAAACGTCTGGGAATACGGATGCGACGTCGAACCATGAGCGAGCTACCTCGAGGAGGAGTATAATACTGATGCAAAAGGCGAGGCGCGTGACGCGGAGTAGATACTGATGCGTACGTCGACGTGCAGCTGGGAATACGTGGTCAGGTAACCCGAGTTAAACTGCAGTTGCAGCGCGCTAGCGCACGGCACCGGCACCAACGCCACTAGCCGTCCGGCGTTTGCAGCGCCCCCTCCTCCCCTAAAACCGTAGGCCCGCTATAAATTGCAGAGCGATAACCATCGCTTCCGTCGCATTTCCTTCCGTTCCGTTCCCTGTAAAGCTCAATCCAAAGGGAGCAAAATCTTTCCTGCGACCGTCCGACGGACCACGTTCTGCCCAATCGCCAAGGTAATTATTCATTCCTCCTCTACTTTCTACTCTCTCTCTCTTTCACAATTAGCCAATATATATTCACCAGAGCTAATCTCCAATCGATTTGATTCTTGGCTTATGTTACCCTCTTCTTGTAACCCTATTCTGCCCGAAACCCCCGTGGTCTTGGGCCCTTTGTGTTAGATCTGTTGATTCGATACTGAGCTTGTTTGTGACAAGTTGTTTTCTTGTCTCAACAAACACTTATCCCCTTTCCAGTTCTACTGATACTACTATCTTTTAGGGCGTGCCTGAGGTCACAAGAGCAATCTACCCTGAGATCACAAAGTAGATACTAGTAGTCTGCTTGTATTCCGTTTCTTCCATCGAAATCCCCCCTTTTCGCATTTCTGTTTCCAGAGGATGGAAGTGGTCACATGGGGTGGGCCAGTTCCAAAAAATTATATCTGTTGCTTGTTGGTGTAGGATCTTCCTGAATTTGTTTGGCTTGGCAGTTCAGCTTGTGCTCACAGAGCTGTTACGTATCATGTATTCTGGATTTCGTTGCTAATTTGTTTATTAGTGGATAGTCCAAAACTCTGCTACGGTTTTGTCATCTGCCCATGTGTGCTTCTGTCAGTTCAGGGGAACTAATTAGCTCAGCATTGCTCAACTTACTGCTTAGACACTCAAAATCAAGGTCATACACATATACTCCTTCTGTCCCCCCCAAAAAAAAAAAAAAACTTTGTCATTCTCGCTTCAAAAAAAAGTCAGCAACTTTTAACTTTGACCAAATATATTTAACAAACTATTAATATTTATGTTACATAATTAGTATCATTAGGTAGATCGTTGAATATACTTTCATAATAAACTTATTTGGAGATATAAATGTTACATGTATTTTCTACAAACTTAGTCAAAGTTGAGAAAGTTTGACCAGCACGATTCCCATAGCGACTTTATTTTTGAGACGGAGGGAGTACGTCATAGGGGGATTTGTACCTGAGTACCTCACTTGTTTTAGGCCAACTTATTCATATCTTTGAAAAAAAAATCAGGGACCATTATTTGCCTGATTAGTAAGCATGTGGTAAACAATCTCTCTCTGAGTTTTGCTGATGTGTGTCTCGGTTACATCTTTAGTATCGGTGACTCAATTATGAGCTAACATCATGTACAGCCACTGCTGCTATGTTACTGCTTTATTGTCTTCTTTTTCCTTCTTGGTGATTTTAGGGAATCAGGGTGTATAGACCATGTTATAATTGTCTGAAGTAGTTGATTAAGATGCCTGATATCCTAGTCGAGTCATGCATTAGTTGGATTCTGCATTTGTGCTTCTGCTGCTCTTTGGTTCCAACACGCCCATTTTTAATGTCTGCAAACTGCTTACTAGTACCGTATAATGCTCGAGTGTGGTTGTGTATTGTATCATCAAACTATGTGTGTTATAACTCCAGATTTCCCTTGTCATTTTTTCATTCTGGGCTCCTGCATGTAAGGCTCCCAGCTATGGAAATAACTAGATGGATTCTTAATCTAATTTTGATTTGGTATATTTGTCCTATATGTAAAACTTTTAAAATGTTTAATTCTATCAGAGTTGGATTAAACTTCTATCCTGTGCTGTTGGATTATGAATGTCTGTTCAACTTGTTGTAGCGGTTGGTCAGCTTTTCAACCCAGGTTGTATAGGGCTAGTTCTAGTAGCCTGATGCATGCTTATTAGGATTTAGTACTTCACTTCCTTTCGTTCCTAGTTTTCTCCCAACCTACTACCTATTTTTGTAAAACTTTGTTATTTCTGTTGTTAAATGGAAATGGGAGATACCCGGTTTTGGAAAGAGAACTTTGAAATTGGAATTGAATATATATATTCTTTTTAGGGAAGAATTGAATACTTCTAAGTTCTGACTTCCTGTATAAACATTTTAAATCTGTTGGTTTCATTGTTAATTTATTCAAAACCTGGACAACAATTCTTTCGGATTCATTGAACAGTTTATGCTAGTTTCTTATCAAGGAAATGTTACAAACATGGGGTGTTATTTCTTTCCAGGCTAGTGGGACTAGTGGTCTTAAGATCCAGATTTCTTTGTTGTGCCTCTTGTTGTTTGACTCTTAATAACAGGATGTTATCAGTCGCATGTCAGCGTGAACTTATTCCTGATAGGCTCAATTGCTTCAAATTGACTTGCTCATATACCTGAACTGAAGTTATGAGGGATGATCTCGAATGCCTGATTACTTAGCATTTCTTTCTTGAGCTACCAATCTGTATGATCAAGTGTGCTTTGTTGACTTGTCTGGGGCTTCCTGTACATCTAGTGCTGCCAGGATACTTAGGTTTCTTGGTATGTCGTATCTTGGATGTTAAAGGTGTTCGTGGTGTACCATGGAACAATTGTACTAAGTAGTTCATCCAGCAGTTCTAATTTTTCCTTCAAGTAGTGCTTCTGCTGCTATCTTGTTTTTGTGTTATATTTTATAATTTGTGGAAATATTGATTTGCAAACTGCCTGCTTCTTATAATACTAGAATTGTGGTTATGAATTGAATGACCAACCCTGCTATATGCATGCACAATGTATATTGGTTACCAACACCAGTTTTTCACCTTTTCAGTCTCCCATGCGTGATGTAGAGTGCCTAGCTGTGAGCCACAGCAATGCAAGTCACTACAGAATATTCAAATGGCATGTTGTCATCTGGCTCGGAAGTAAACTAGCTAGTTGTTTATCTTCTATACATCAAGAAGATCATCCAAATTTGGTATCCTCTAAAATTAAATTTGAGTGCTTTTTAGTTGGACTTTTATTGTCTGAACTCTAAAACATGTGGACTTGATTGTTAACTTATTCAAAAGCTGGAGTACAGTTTTGTTGTGATTTAATATTTGATGCTAATTCTTAATCAAGGAAACCATAGGGCACTTTTTTCCAGTTCAGTGAAACTAATTGGTCCGAAGATATGGATTTCTTTGCACCTTGTTTGAATTCCTATAACAACGTATTGGCAGTCACACTCACACATCAGGATGAACTTTTACAGGATTGACTCACCTGTTTCAAATTAACTTGCTCATATCCCTGCCTAATTTGTTTGCGTGATCAGTCAGCATCTCTCTGAGTCACTAATCTGTATATTCAAGTGTGCTTTGTTGACTTCTGTGTTTAATTGTTTCATCAATTTACCATCTGTATAAGCTGCCACAGTATATAGCTTTCTTAGCATGTGGTATCTTGGATCTTTAAGGTATCTGTTGTGTATTATGGAGCAATTGTGTTCAGTAATTCAGCAAGGGGTGCTGCTTTTTTCCTTTCAAGTCAACTAACGCTTATGCTTCCGAGGCTATTTTATTGCTACATCTAGTTTTACTGATAATGCTAGATTATAGTTAATCTGCTAGAATGCCCATGGTTGCAACCGTGAGTACTCAGATATTAAAGTCACTATAAGATGTTGTGTTGTCATCAGTGCCTTATTTTTCCCAATACCTTTTTATAGGAATCAGTTTTGATGTTCTTCCGTGAAATTTAATTCGAATACATTTTAAAATTCTGAAACAACTGTGTGACTTGAAAAATGCTCAATTTGCTTACGCTGGAGTCGAAACCTTCAATTAGTTGAAATTGAGCATATTATTGTCAACTTTTGCCTCAACCTTTTCTTTTAGTCTTAGAAAAAAATTCTGGGTTTGCAATGTGGATTCACATATTTTTGGCATGAGTTTTGGCATCTCAGTATCTCACAACATTGCCATTGTAATGTTTTTTTTTAGGGGATTGTCATTGTAATGTTGATACAGTTGAAATTGAGCATATTATTGTCAACTTTTGTGCCTTATTTTTAGTCATGAGTTTTGGCATCTGACAACATATTTTTGCTTTTTTCTGCAGATGCAGATCTTTGTAAAGACCCTGACCAACAAGACCATCACCCTCGAGGTTGCGTCATCTGACACGATCGACAACGTCAAGGTGAAGATTCAGGACAGGGAGGGGATTCTCCCTGACCAGCAGCGGCTTATCTTTGCTGGCAAGCAGCTCAAGGTTGGACGTACGCTAGCTGACTACAACATTCAGGAAGAGTCCACCCTGCATCTCGCTCTTCATCTCCATGGCGTCCGGCACATTGCCCGCAACAGCATTCCTGAGGTTGTTTTGTTATCTCACAGAACCACATCCTTCCTAGTTAGTCTTAATTGCTCATTTGATCTATTCATTTGGCCGAGGCAAGCTGGTCTTATTTCTTTTCTTTTTGAAGGAACTTGGCAGGAGCTCTGCTCCTTCTGTTTAGACCGAGGAAGTGCACAACATTTTAGAATAGCCTCTAGACGACTTTATTCTCACTTCTCAGTAAGAACAATTAAAAGAAGTGATTTAATCAGAAATCTGCTCAGCATTTGCTTATCCATCAATTGAGTTTATTTGGGCAAGCAATTTAGGTCAGGGATAGGTGGTTGAGGGCTAGGCTTGCCTTTGCTGACTACTGCAGGAGTGCCGGGGATGTTGCTGGTGGCAGCGGAGGTAGCATAGTGTTGATAGGTTAGCCGTTAGTGCGGGGCCGTAGCTAATGATAGAGCTCAGGCTTTACAAACACGTCCATAGGATCTCATCTCACGGGGGATGGGTAGAATAGAAGAGCTAGAATTGTCTCGCTCCTTGGATGGATTTGAGCGAGTACATTTATAAGTGGAAACTTAATCTTAAGTTGACTCATGAAACAACCTGTATAACGAGTTGTCTTATAGTAATCCACAATTCGTTAATTTATGCATAGAATAAAAGGAATGTTATGATGTACATGACAATAACTCAAACAATGGTGTAGAAGCTGTCCTAAAGTCCTAAATTTTAGGTTAAACTTCCATCGCTCTCCTCCCATCATTCATCATAATATAAGGACGGGTAGCTGCAACTGTGTCGTGAGAGAGCGGGAAGAGTATAGAGGTATCAGGTACACTGGACGGTTGAACCTATGTCCAATGGTCCATAAAATTGACTTGTAATAAATAAGCAAAATTAAGGAAAGAGAGATACCTTATTAGAAAATTAGAAAAACTACCGATTTGGCGTAGTATTAGGCAAGGCTTGTGAACCCAGTCTTAGGAGGCTATGGATTTGGCACTATTTTAAACGTAGGTTGATGAAGCGAGGCGATCGTCCGTTTCAGGTCTTGTGAGGATCGAAGAGAGAAGCCTTAGCCTCAATGATGTGATGACAAAGGCAGATCGAAAAGATGATATGAACTGTCCAATTTGTTTATTCCAACGACACCAACCGATGTAGATATGGTCCTTTCTTATTTATACTAGCAAATTTGCCGGTACTTTCAACGGGACATTGCTTGATTTCAAATGGGCACGAAAGGCTTGAGGATATATATCCAATGATTATGTTATGCGTTTCAAAGGCTAACTTCAAATATGTGTTATTTAATAAAAAAAATAGAAATTGTCTATCAAACAATATATCATCACAATAACGTACTCCCTCCGTTTCAAATCATAAGACATTTTGACACCAGCTGACTGAAACTGATTTGTTGTGAGAGAAAAACACTATATCATAGCTAATAAGTCATGTTGATAAGTTCAAGCGAACAGGACCATACTATTTTTACTATTTATTTAGATATAGTGTATATCTAAGTGCATAGCAAAAAATTATAAAGCTAGAAAAGTTAAAACTTCTTGTAATTTGGAATGGAAGGAATAGTAATCAGACCCAACCGAGATTAGCGTAGCTAATGCATGCACCAAATAGACAATAGACAAACTAATAGTGAGGAAATTATTTCCTTGGCCCAAAAAAAAGTGATGCTTAGTTTCTTAGTCTTTTTTTTTCTCGAACTTGCTTATTTGGTACTAAAAGGAATTCCTTTTGGTTTCTTGGCCCTTTCGTTAGTTTGATGGGCTAACAGTGTCAAGCTGTACGTGAAATGACTATTTTAGGGCCAATATTTTTTCACAGGTCTTTCAGGCCGTCTCTATCAATAATTTTCTAAAATAAGGTACAATATTTTTTCAAGCATGGAATCATTATTTTTTTGTATTTTTTGTAATAATTATTTTTTTCAAGCCAGGGTAAAAGAGTCATTTAGCGATAACTTGACAATCGTTAGTCCATCAAACTAATGGAAGGGCCAAGAAACAAAAAAAAAATCGTTTTAGGGCCAAATAAGAAGGTTCGAGGAAAAAAAACAAAAAAACTAAGCAGCACTTTTTTTAGGGCAAAGGAAATAATTTGCGGGGAAAACAAATGTCTTGCGGTCAGCGGTCAGCGAATAGTATTTTTGAATAAACATTATATAACTTCACTGTTCGATGAAAGTGACGTATCACTAAAAGAAGAAAGATCATGCTTAGCACCTCCAGGGACCAGCGCTCGATTTAACCGAGCAAAGCAGCAGATCAACAGATCTAAGGAGTCAAACTTCTGCTGACGGTGACCCCAAAAAACATAAGATCGTGAGTTGTGACAAAAAAACAGGCTGTCACTCGTGACCTGCTGGTTTGGAGGCCCAACTATTTTGGGGCCTTGGGTCATTGCGGTCGTGCGGTCGCCCATCCGCGCGCAGCACGCCCTCGTCGACGGCCCAGGGTTTGGTTAAATCCGTTTAACCACCTGAAAGCAGCCTGGATGGGCTCATAATTTCAATTGGGCTGTGCACTGGGGGGTCCAGTAGAGCTACTTGTGATTTTCAAAAAAAAAAAGTAGAGCTACATGTTGTTATTGCTTTTCAATAGAGGCGACACCAAAAGAATCTTACTCATGTACACATTCGTGCAGGCCGTTGCAGATGAGGACGGGAACGGTGTGGTTGGAATGGTTGGGCAAGACGGGGTCCCCGGCGCTCAACGCCTGCGCATGCGCAGAGAGGGCCTCCGTGTCCTGGGAGTGGCCGTCGCTTCTCTGGCCGTGACGGGGCTACTGGCCGCTGGCGAGGCAACTCCTCCGGCGACGGGCGTTGCCCTGCTCATGGTGCTGATAGGCGGCCTGTCCCTCGCCACCATACCAGCGCTCCGTGGACGCAACATGTAGCCACTTCTGTAGCCGCGAGCTCGAGGGAGGTTTGAGACACTGAAACAGTTTGGGTCAGTCGTGTGAGTCCGATCTCCGATGGGGATTTCTTGTCTTCGGGTTCAGCTGCTCTGCTTTGATTGAGATTCCTTGGACTTTGTTTGAGATTTCTTGGACTTTGTTTTGCTCGCTTGTAATAATAAATAGCCATATGCATTAGTCGATGTAGAAGCTGGGATATTAATATATTCTCTTTTCTAAAAAAAATGGCTCTGCTTTAGCTCTGGTTTCATGGTGCTTCCATTCCATTGATCATTGTATCGATGTATGTGTCAAAACTATAGTCTTCTTGGAGTTTCACTTATGACCTCTTTTTTTAAACCAAGGTTTTATATCTTTTATTAGCTTATAAAACAAAAGTTTTTTGAGATCACAGTTTTCAAAAACTACGTCATTCAAATAACTCTGCTTTCAAGTTTTAGTAGCACTATTAAGTTGTTAAGCTATCTAGACTAGGTAATTAAACATCGTGGTGCTCCATGGGCCATGGCCTATGGCTGCGCCGCCATGACCTGGCCATGGTGGAGTCTATCAGATCTGCAAGCGCCGACGTTTAAGATTCGCTAAAATAAAATTGCCGCCTTATATTGGAAACCATTGGTAACCAAACTAGACTCAAAGATTAGAATTAGAGAATGTTATGGATCTTCAAAATCATGGAATTTGATATTGAACCATAACCTCATGAATTCTGTTAGTTTCGATAAATTTGTGACGTAAATTCGTCTTTACCTTGTTGTTGGTAGCAGGACAACACCCAACACACGGTAGCTAGTATATATATTGTTCCCTACACCATAAGCTCAGAGATTAACGACATGTTTGACAATGATCAGGCACATGATTCATGCATTTCAGTGAATGGTTTGCCGTTTCTTTCAATTGAAACCAAATGATTTGTCTTTTTCCTGATTGGGACGTACAGCTGTCCATTTAGACATGTTAATACAACATGGGAGAAATGTGATGATTCACGCAGCGATGTTGGGGGTATTCTTAGGATTTCTCACATCCGTATCCTTTGAGCGCACGCCCATAAGTAGCGATCAAGGAAATCGATCAAACGATCCCAATACCGTGAAAGAGAAACTTCCCAGATCCAGGGAAGCTTATCATAAAGGGCTTCAACAAGGGGTTTTATTCGTTCTTTGAGCAAAAAGATAAAGATCGGATAGATTCGAACCGCAATTGCAAAGGTAATAACTACTATGCCAGCCCAAATCATGATCTTCACCAACTTGGCTTGCGGTGTGTGGTACTCTGTGCTAATGTGCTTGTTTTGTCCCGTAATTATTTTACAATTCCATCACTGTCTTTTTCCGTAATTGTTTTGTCCTCTCGTTATATGTGGAGTAGCAACGTAGCATAGGCCATAGGGGATGCTTGCGGCCGGACGGTTTTAGAATTTTTTTTGATTTATCCACGCAATTGTGGTTCATGGGCTCGGTACAAATTCTAACAAATTTAAATATTAGTTTTGGGCTATGGTACAGTAGTAGCTCATTTGGTTAAGTTCTTTATGGTAAACTTGCCCACTAGCAGGTTCAAGTCTATGACTCCGTACAAATTCTCACATTTATTCTTTCGATAATAGATGATATATCGATTGACGGTGAAACGACAATGATACCATTGTCGATATCGACATTCATCTTTTTAATTGTGTGATGTGCAGTGATGTTTATAAGGATAAGTTATACATGTGGCACCTTATAAAGGTGGAAGTGCGTGACGTGTATTGTATTTTGAAAAAAAAAAATTACATCCTTACACCATTTGCATTCAGGTCCCTACTTGCTGCTTTTGCTTGTTCCATTGGGCCAATAATTTATAAAAAATAGTATAGCAATTCTAAATAGGTATATACTATAAAAATATATTTCATAACAAATATAATGGTACATATTTAATATGATGAATATTAGTATCCTTTTATTTTATATAAATTTAGTTACACTACTACAAAATATACAATCACTGCTGGTTCATGGAATTGACAGTGATAATACTAATTATCGATTCGTGGCTTCAAGAAACAGTGATATTACAAACGGCAGAAAAGGTGGGCTATTACTACCAGATATTGCCACCAACCGATAACAGTATTCCTGGTACTCAAATCTGAAATTTGATCTCAATTCTTTTAAGTTCCTTCACGCCCGTCGTCTCTCTCTCTCATCTTCTCCCTTCTCTTCGCCTTCTGTACCACACAGTCTCCCTTCTCTCCTACATCGTGGCAACAGCGGCCCAAGAGCGCAGGCCCTAGCAGCGATGCTCCCCGGCGCGCGTAGCTGCGGTAGAGTCCCAGGTGTGTGGCTACTGATACGAGGAATCTCCTCTCTCATCCCCCGATATGGGAGTCGATCAGTCACTCGGTTTAATCTGTGATTTGTTCATGTCCCCCACTGTTGGGTTACGCAAATGGCTACTCGCTAGCACAAATTAATTACCGCGTAAAAACAGGATCACTTGCATGTAGATAATCATAGGTTATATCTTCCTGACGCGCGACACAGCGGAAGACTTGGCAGATCGCGCATAGTCGATGTAGTAGACGTCGAGGAAGATGTCGTACCGTACGATATAGTGCGCAACGTAGCAGCACCTCTACGGACGTACACACGTACGGAGAGGAGAACGGCGGCGACGTAGCGTGCTAGCGCTCGTGGACGCACACGGATTGCAACGGAACCCAAAGGCACTGGCTTCTTCCGGCGGTTGCACGCACACACGCACGCGAACAGCAGAGGGCGGCGGCGTGGGTGGGTGCCTTGCAATTAGGTTAATCACCCCTTGCCCGGTGATTAGCTTATATATATATATATAAGCATGCTCATGGGCCAGCCATATGGGCCACGTTGGGTTGCAGTGGGCCAATATATAATTTCTCTTGAGCATTAACTAACAGAAGGAGTGGTATACAACATTAGGGAAGTATGATAGATTCTTTTGTCGACCCAAGCACATCGGGCCATCTGATGCCGGCCGTCGTGTTACGTGTACGACGACGATCCTGCGCGCCCTTCACGTGCACGCGCCGGCGCCCGGGGGCACGTCTCGACATTGCCTGGCGCGGGCATGGTCGTCACCGCGGGGCCTGATACGAACGCCGTCGGCTTCGGCCGCGCCATTGATGTGTCCGAAGGCGTGGTCGAATTGGGTTCCGAGCGTCTCCATACCCTCACGTACTGCACTCCCCTTTCGCTGCTCAAGTAGCACTCTTTTTCCTTCTTCCTGAACACTGGCGAGATATGCTTGCTCTGTTTTTGTCTCTGTTTTCCGCAGTCGACCTGACAACTGACATTTCCTTGTCAAATCCGCTCTCCCTTCTTCAAATTCGATGCCTACATTGGTGGCATGCCTACGGTAGGCCATTTACGGAATGTTTGCGTGTTTGGGCAGTGGTGTTCCTTTTATCAAAATACCTACTGGAGTGTACTGTTATTTCGTTGTGACCTGAAGATAACTCAAAAGGTCAAAAAGTTCACCATGTATTGCGCGCTTAAGACGTGGCACGGAGTTGTAAATTGCACTTACCTTTGTTCATTTATTCCTTGACTAAAGGTCCATTTGGAGAGGGCTCTCTCTGGCTCGGGTTTTTTTTTACGATGAAAGAAGAATTATATTAGATAATAGCTGGGTACATCAACATGTTACGAGCACGCTGGATTATATAAATATTCAGAAACTGATTTTCATTTAAATTATACCCACGCTGTTAATAGCTCCATATCTCAAAACCAGACATGTACGACGCTTTGCAGTATAGATGACCGCACAGACGAACACTCGGCAAAAGGCGGCCCAACGAACGGCGGCCAACATTCATGTAGGCGGAGTTCATAAACTTCTCTCTGCCAAAGAAGAATGAGAAAGACTGATTTGAAACTTATTCTCTATAGTTCTTCATTATGGCCAGATCTAACAACAATAAAACAGAGAAGGGACCTGAGAAAATTATTCCATGGCGGCGACACCATCTCCTCCTTGATGTCGCTGTCTGGAAATAAAAGTCTCCATGTCATCATACTGGTGAGGATGCTAACGCCCTAGTTATCGCCCTCATATTCAATAAAGCCGCCATGGAGAAAACGATTCCATCCTACCCTCTCGCCGTTGCGGGAGAGGAGGAGGAGGAGATAAATCTCCAAAATAAAAAAACATGGCATGGGGAGACTCTAACCCTAAATATTTGATCTACTGAAAAAACTTATTAAAAACGATAAATCCCCACTCTCTTCAACCTCCGGTGACATGCAGGAGGGGAAGGGAGGGGGACCAGCGGTGGTGAAGGCGGGGGCAGCGACGCTACGCGAGGGCACGAAGGGATGCGTGCTCGTACGTACTGGCTCGGGTTCCTTCACGATACTAGCGGAGTGAGGATTTGCCTCAAATATGCATCTTTTTCGGCTCCTCCTATTCTTAGTTCATTTTTAGTGAGAACTGACCTGTTTTTTCCACAGCCGCAATATGCTACAGTAACAAACCATGTTGTACACTGCTCACCTCAAAACCGCAACAAACGGGGCCTAATAATCATCTGTTGTAGTCGAAATATTTCCAGTTTCAGAGAAAGATTGTACGAATCTGGTGTGCCATATACTAGAATTTCAATGACAGTGCAACATCACATTATAGAATATGTGCTCTATAAAAAATCAATGAGGCTATGCACTTGCACTATTTATATTTCAGGAGTTGAGTACTCGTGGATTGCTACGGGCATACATAAAATCTTATGGTGTATGCTACATGGGTAAAACATATGTAAAATCTCATAACATGTAGTAAATGTTGAAAATTGGATCCATATCGAATAATTTTGTTAGCAACTTTAGGCCGCTATTGGGCCTTGCCTTGAACGGAAACCTATTGCAAATTTGTTATAATATTTGTTATAATATATGTACTATAGATTGCAGAACCCTTGTCTCTCTGATTTTCAGTTGGGTGATGTAACA